CTAGCCATTCAGACCATGTGCTAAGAGTAATGCCTGCCTCCAGCCTGCCCACAGCTGCTATAGAAATGGCCAGGGACTAGGCAACCTGTCAGCTTTGGAGTCTGTTACTTAATGATCTCAGTCAGGCAGAGAATTCAATACAGGTTAAGAAATAAATACTGAGTCACAAACATGTATTTTCTAGCAAAAAAGGTTTCAATACATACTAAAACCCACAATAACTGCTTATTCCCATTGGTTTTAAATAAACAGGTATGCTGCACCAGCAATAGCTTTATATTTTATTGTAAGGCAGTAAAAAAATTATGTAATCCTCAAGGGGCCCACATAAAATATTTAGTCTTTAAAAACAGTTCCTGTCCAGTGTTATAGGAGTTTTCAGGTTCACTCAAGGTTTCTTCTCACATAATAAGCTTAGATATAGTCCATCAGGGAAAGGAATATATTGTAATTATAAGCTTCAATTAATCATCGTATTTTGGTAACAATATTTTTTAGTTCCCCAGGCAAAATAAAGCACAGCTGTTTGAATTAATATCCCAATTCTCTGCTTCACTTTCATAAAGGAAACATTCAATATACATAACAATCTTATAAAATTTAGGAACAAATGACAAAGGAGGTTAAGGAAAGTAGCCAGACTCTTGAAGTTTTCTAGTTGTACAATATTAGAGAAATCCATGCTGCATAATGACATTCTCATGACTTTTTGTAATTTTAACTAGAAAATTCTGTAGCCATTGCAGGGAACACCCTGTGTAAGTTAGAACCACATGAAATTGCTGATATTTGGTATTCTATTTTTGACATTCAAATTTAGAAATTCCATAGTTTCAACCTAGTATTTTGCCTTCCCAGTTAAAATTGATTTTTCCTTTTCTGGAAACTATGAAGTTGTGATATAATGAAATAGGAACCATTCTATGCCATTATGCATTATGGAGCATTAAAAAGGTGATCTGATAATACGAAAGAAGAAAGTTAAATATGCCTACTTTTATTTTAGGACCACCCGCAAAATTCTCCATGGTATGCTAATGATGTCAAATTTTGATTAGATGTTCACTTGTAACTATGCCTCTGATTCTCTGTGGTTCTTTTCAGCTATGCAGCATTCTTCCACTTCATTTTTCTCCATTTGTGCCATTTCTCTCTGTGATGTGAATTCATCCTTATCCATTATTTCATGCCTCCATCTTTTGCTGCTTCTTCAGATTGCACTAGGCCATAAGAGGTAAGCACCATTAAAAGAGGAAAATCGACTTTGCTTTGTGCCCAGGAGGAATCCTTTGTCCAAGGTATTCCATAACCCTATCCCTGAAATCAATACTTTCTAAACTACCCTTTGAAAGGAACTCATAATGAAAATGATTCTTCACAGCCACACTCACACTAGAATTCCTTGAATGTTGCTGCACACATATTGCAAACTCAGTACTTGTTCCTCAGGATTTTATACCAGGATGTACTAGTGTCCTTGCTTTGTACCTCAGTATCTCCCTCAGTTTTCTGTACAGTAATATGCATAGTACAATATTATTCACTGCCATCTTGAATAAAGAATTCCTAGACCTGCCTCCATCCACCAGGATCATAAGGATTATAATAAAAAGGCAGTATTTCAATGACGCTGTGTCATTATTCCTCAATGCAAACAGTGATGTTTCCAAATGTTACTGGGTTTGGCTATTTACGTGGGTCAAATTTGCCAAATAAAACCAAAGCTACCCTTAATGTTGTGCTGTATAGTTAATGAAATTATTTTTTTATTGTTCTCAATTCCATTTCCAAACTTAGATTAGAATTTCCCAGGGCCAATAACTAATAATATCTGAGTTTTATCATGAGAAGTTTGTGTGTACAGAGAATTCAAATTGCTTTTCATTCAAAAATACCTTGAGCTTTCTAAGCAACTAAAACCATTTTTAAGCAACTGAAACCATTTCTTAAAATATATTTTAAGAATTTCATTTTTAAAAGAAGGCAAGCCAGTCTACATAAGAAACCTCACATACCTTTATTTGGATTATTGACTCATCTATTTTTAATACTCTCGGTTGCCATCTAATAGGGGCAATAAAATGACTCTCTGCTCCATACATATGGTCTAGGTTAAGTTTCACACTTGTTAATCCTGAAGGAGGCAGGGTTCACAACATAATGCTATTTCAGCGGTGTTATTTTTGTCTTCCTGTCATTAAGCTTTGACTCCACATTGCTTTCTGTTGGGAATGTGTCATACTGTCACAGGCTAAGAATAAATTTGCATCCATCGCCTTGACCTCTGGACTGGCTTCCTTTTAAGAGACAGACATTCCAACCTTTTCCAGACACAGATTAGCATATCTAAGATGTTTAGTAAAATAAACACCTAATACAAAAAAGAGTGTAGATATTTAGTGTGTAATGGTATGGCACTGAAATATTGATGGGTTTCATGCAGAAAGACATCTGACTCTTTGCAGTCTCAAGTTTTTCTATCCCTGTGACCTGCTTCCAGGTTTTGACCCCC